TGGGCAGACCACCTGTGAAGAGCAGGAGAGAAAGGAAAACAGGATTTTGAGTTTTTTTCTTCACTTGTGTATGTGATTCACAAGTTCACAATTAAAAAAATTCAAATCAGATTACATATTTTGTTTGTTCATATACCAAACTTAAAGAATGGGCAAACAAACCATAAGCTCATAGACCCTTCAGAGGGCTGAGAGCATTTTTTCAAAGGTTTTGAAATGGACCAGAGGCCATTTGAGTTTGGTTGGGTTGCTTGGCGTGAAAAGTGTTTTGCAATCCAATCCAACAAAACCTGGAAACAAACCCTGATTTGGAACAATCGGTTGAACCAAGAGATCATACCCAGATGGAGGCTGGATGAGGACCCGTGGGAGGAGGGCAGAGAGGGTGGAGGTGTCAGAGGTGAGTGGCCAGGTGTTAGTCCAATGGGGCTGGGGGAGGAGGAGTATCCTAGGCTGTTGTAGAAAGACTGGCCAATGGGAGTCAGACTGCTACCACCACCACGTTTATACAGGTCAGAGCTGGCCAAAAGCGAGTCCCGACGGGTTGCGCTGCTGCTAGTGGAACTTGACACTGCAGGAGTACAAGAGTGGGAAGGACAAAGAAGAGAACAAGACAAGCATGTGACATCACAATTGCAGGAAGCTAGCTTGGAATATGGAGGAGCTTACATTCAGCAAATGATATTACTCTGACTTTGTCGGTAGATATTACTCTGACATTGATATTACTCTGACTTTGTCGGTAGAAATGATGACAAGAACATTGTTGTCAAATGTAAACATTACATTAATCTGAACATTACATTGCTTGCCCATCCACATCCCTTTTATCCTGAATCCGATATAAATTATACCCACCTAATATTGCACATCTTTCTAGAAAACAAAACAACACAAAACATTTTCTTAGTATGTACGGAACAGAACGCAGAAGTGAAGTGGAACTTAATCAAAAGCAGGGGTGTCAAACTTATTTTCAGCTCAGACCACATCAGCTTTTGTTTACCCTCAAATGGACCTTAACACATACATACATATGCATATATATATATACATATGCATACACACACACACACACACACACACACACATATACACACACACACACACACACACACACACACACACACACACACATATACACACACACACACACACACACACACACACACACACACACACACACACACACATATATTAAGGTCTATTTGTAACCAGAATAACCCTCCCAAAATAACCAGAATTAAATGCTTAATTCTGGTTATTTTGGGAGTATTTATTTATTTAACATACATTATTTTGTCCTGCAGATATTTTTTTTAGTTATTTACTGCAGGCCTTGCTAAAACTGCACATTCAAATGTAAAAAAAATTGTGAAATTTGATAATGCAATTTTTATATACGTGCAAGTAAATGTATTTTGTGATTTATTGATTTGAATGAACTTTTTTAATGATCATGCTTGTTGATGGTAGTAGAAGTTAGGCAATGTGAGCAAACATGTTTGTGTAAAAGCAATGCAGTTAGAGCCTGTTTGATTTACAAAAGTCGATTCGTTTACTTCCGTGAGTGGACAATCAACTATAAGAATAGAGTATATTCTTATATTCTTTTTATATTGTTGCTTCAAAAGACAACAGTGTGTATTTTAAACTACAAATGTTTTACTAGTAGGCCAACTTGCATGCATTTAAAAATGTGAAACCTAAAATAAACATTAAATTGTTGAAAATACAATGACTGAGAAAAGTCTATCGCCAGCCAGAGCACGAAAGGAGATTTGAATTTAACCATTACAAAGCACTATTAACTGATTTTTTTGAAAACTTGCAGGCAACATTCAATACTAAGGTGGTAATATGAAGGTAACTTATAAAGTTAATCACAACTGCACACAACAAAATAGTGAAACAGACCTGAGGAGCCAAAGGCACCAAGGGCAGAGCCTAGCCCAACACCCAGAGATCCACCAGTGCTGCCGAAACCCAGAGATGTGCTTGGTGGAGGTGCCGCGCTTGTATGGGAGAACAGCGAGCTGCTCTGTGAGCTGGGCGCCACTGAGCCAGACCCATAGAAGGAGCTGGACTGCAGACCGCTGGAGGGAGGAGGCGGCTGCTGCTGAGGCTGAGGCTGCTGGGGTTGTTGGCAGCCCATGGACCGGTACAGACCGTTAGCAGGGCCAGACATGCTGTTACCAGAGCCTGAAGCATTGGCAGCTAGACAGAGGACAGAAAGAACGTCATAAAAGAAAGTCATAAAGTAAAAAAGTAGATTAGTTTGTTCATTAGAAAAAAATGGAATTATTAGGAATTATTTTAAAATAGTGTTTAAAGAGTAGGTAAAAAAAGGCATATTTACCAGCTTGTGCGGCTGCTGGGTTGATAAGGAGGGGGGTTTGGACCAGTCGAACAGGTCCACCCAGGCCAGTGCGAGCTCCAGGACCCATTACCAGAGCTCCAGTCTGATCATAGTAAGCAGCCGGTGCTAGAACTTGGTAACCTGATGTTAAAACATAACGGACTGAAATTGGGTCTGAATCAATTTTCGTTCATGAAATGCACAGAAATATAATTTGGTCATCATGACATGATATTTTGGGGAATCATTTTTTAATCACAATCGAATGCCTTGGAGTGAGAATGGGTTGGCTTTTGTGAATGGATGTTAATGAAGGTAAAGCTTCACTTTTTTTTTCGCTCAAGTTTTGGGAGAAAACAGCTGATCACTTTATGAATTGTTGTGCTCACAATTAAACTATTCTAGAACAAGCTCTATTTGGAAATTACAACAAAATAAATGCTGTTTATAAGAGAAGTCATTGAGAATTTTGTTTTGCATTTCCATTTTATTTTTATAGTATGAACAGTGTTAAACAGTTGTAACGTTGAAAATCATGATTCAGAATCAGATTTAACTAGGGATGGGGCCGATCCGATCCAGTATCGGTATCGGGACCGATACCAGCGTAATTCACGTATCGGATTTTTCCGATCCAACCTGCGGAGAAATCCGATATTTATGATCCATGTCTGCGCTTTAACGTTGGCTGCTGAAATGACTCCAAAAGGGATTCCCCGGGGCTGCTAGTCTGCTAGCTGGCTGCAAACTGTGGAATGGATATCCTGAACGGAGGTGCAGCTCAATCATAGACTGTAAAAAATAGGGCTCAATGAGACACACAGACGCCCGCTCAAGAAATCCATTCCGCAGTTTGCAGCCAGCTAGCAGGATAGCATTGAGCTACCAATATGTTCGCTGTGTGGAAATCCTATGGTGGAAATACTTCACACTGGAAACACCGCAGCAGAGCAAGACAGCAAAATGCAATGTTTGCAAAGCCGTATAAATTAAACTATTTGTCAGTGATGCATGTTTGCAATTCGCAGTCCAGAAGAGAAAGAGAGAGAGATCTCTCACGCGGTGCCACAGCACGCACAACACGACAGCCCTGCTTAATGAGTGACGACAGAGAAAACATAGCCTGGTTACACTTTAGATCTGTGATATTAGTCTGATTTCCAATGATTAAAGAATATATTGAGGTAAAAAAAAAAAACATTAAACAATAGCCGCATTCTGTGTAGCCAACTTCCTTCCCATCGCGGCGGTGCACTGTCATTTCTCCGTAAAACTCAAACTTTAAGACAGAATCAGCACGATCGGTAATTGTTGTAAAATGCCGTCTCTGCTGTTGCTAAATTGCGGGACGCTTTTAATAATAAAAAGAGCTATTAAAAGCACCAAATTTGCGCAAGAGGGCGGCGCGCGCTCCGAAACAGACAAGCAAATTATACTTTGGGCTTCATATGCGCGTCTAAACGATCAGATGTAGCCTGCACAAAAATGTCAAAACGACCGGCTTGGAGATTATCACTTAACTACGTTCATTTTAGACATAAACGGTTTATGGAAATAGTTGGGAGAAAATATGGTGCATCAGTAGACTATGAAATCCGCACTAGTTCTTAAAGGGGCAGCAGTATAAATGTGACGATTGCGACATTACTGAGAATAAAACAACCAAAGGCAAAGAGAAAATCACTCACAGCTCTTGAATGAATAACTTCAGCTTTAATAAGCATAAATCTATCTATGATAAACTTTGCAGTGCTATTTTACTTTTGATTACTTTATTATAATTCTTTTTAGACGATATACCTGAATAATGTTAGTCGACCTTCCTGAAATTAAAGCACTGTGTAGGCCTGTATAATGCGTATATCTTTGTTTAATTGTCTATCTATTGTTTAATATATCTATTATATATATATATATATATATATATATATATATATATTGACATAGGCTACATACGTACGTATCATCCTTGCTTGTAGAGAGGTGTTTATTTCAGCATCATATAAAATCAACAATAATGATAAATAATGTTAAAGCAAACACAGGTCTGGTATCGGAAAAGTATCGGTATCGGCCGATATCCAAAGTCAGGTATCGGGATCGGATCGGAAGTGAAAAAATGTGGATCGGTGCATCCCTAGATTTAACATATATATTTAAATCTAAACTGTGATAATCTGGTATATTTCAGATATTTGAATGGCAGTAACTTAATGTAGCAGCTGATGAGTAGGGTTGCACGATTAATCACAATTAACATGAAACCAATTTGGCTCATTGCATTTTCGTACTTCAGCGGCAGGGCATATTTGGAGTTTCTGCATGAGAGCGCCTTCTGGTTTTCAGATTTACTACTGATCACAGAGATGTGCTGCACTGACAAGCTGCACATAAAATAATCACAACCTTTGCCAAATCGCATGCAGTTTATTTTCGGTTAAAGGGGTGGTAAAGTATGATTTCACTGTTCTAACTTTAGATAGTGTGAAATGTTGCTGTTTGAGCATAAACAACATTATCAAAGCTCAAAGTTCAAAGCAAAGGAAGATATTTGCTTTTAAAGAAAACGACTACAACAAACGGCTAGTAGGGACTACACGACATTCCGCTAGGGTTAGTGACATCACCAACCCTAAAATGTACATAAACCCTGCCCTACTGACGAGTGAAAAATTTAATTTCAACCCTGATTGCAATGCCCATTTTTGTAACAGACATTGGTGTAGAAGGTTTCCTTGGACTTTTAAAGAATATTTACAAATCAAACTGCCTCCATCTATGCTGTTAAGCTCTATGCCAACCCGACATATGGGGCAGAAACCATAAAATATCCATGACGGAAAAGAACACACACAAAAGAATGAAAGGCTTAAACAATAAAGGTGGGTTGCACCAACAAGGATTAAATTAAGCACAGTTTAGAGCTAATCTAGGTCTTTGTAGGTGCACTTTATTTTATTTAAACCTCATCAACTGCAAGTTTAAAGTTAATCCGTAATAGAGATTTAAATGTAAGTTCAAACTTATGGTGCAACAGAATTATTAGATAAACCTTGATTTAACCTAGATTTAAGATTAATCTAGATAATAGTTGGTGCAACCAACTATTACGAAGACTTAATAAACACTTAGTATGCTTAGACACACATTTCGTTGTAGATAAAGATATCTGAATTAAATGATAGCTAACAACAGCAGGGCCGTGCACAGACATTTTGAGGGGCAGTGGCCTTAGCCAAAAAAAGGGGCACTAAGGGGGTGGTTGCTTGTTAACACAAATTATTCAGTTATTGTTACAGTTTAATTTTTTTTACATTATTGTTACAGTATTTTCCTTTTACAGCAAAAGGATGGGGGGGGGGGTGTACTAGGCTATTATTTGTATTAGATCGAGAGAGTAGCCTGATTAGACAAGCAGCTAATTCTAAGAACGTGGATTATGTTGTACAAGTTGTTAGCACTAGTAGAAGACCAAGAGCAAAACATTACCGACATAAATGCACAAAAACAAACAAAAAAATAATGAATAATTTCGCAGATTCAACCACTGTCTATTATGGAAGCTTGTTTCCGCCACTGAATAAAAATAAAAAAATAAATAATTGCGACTTTTTATCTCAAAATTGTGAGATATGAAGTCAGAATTGTGAGAAATAAAGTCAGAATTGCGTGATATAAAGCGAGAATTGCGTTATATAAAGTCAGAATTGCGAGTAGGGCTGAACGATTGATTGCATTTGCGATAAAATCGCGATATGATGAAACGCGTTTTTGTAATCGCAAGAGCTGCGATTACACTGGTCACTTGACACGCGAGAGAAAAGCAGTCTGCAAGATAAAGCATCAACTTGCCACGCTACGCGGTCTGGCGTCCAGAAAAGTTTTATTGTGTTATTTATTCTCTCCTCTCCTCAACAATCCTGGATCGATTCAGAGAATTTCAGAATTGAGTATGAGCTTAGTTTTTAAACACAGATGCGTGATGATGACGCTGCGAGTGCTTCAGAAACGAACCGTGTTCTGAATCTGCTTGCTTCTATTTTCTCATATTAAATTGCAATCGCAATATTGGTTAAAAAAATCGCAATTAGATTATTTTCCAAAATCGTTCAGCCCTAATTGCGAGATATAAAGTCAGAATTGCGTGATATAAAGCCAGAATTGCGTGATATAAAGTCAGAATTGCGTGTTATAAAGTCGCAATTCTAAGAGAAAAAAAAAACAGAATTGCGACTTTCTCACAATTGCTAGTTTACATTTCGCAATTCTGACTTTATAACACATAATTGCGAGTTTATATGTCGAATTTCTTACATCTTCGAATTTTAAGATATATACTCGCAATTGCGAGTCTCAAGCCAATTCTAAGGGGGAAAAATACCAACTTTTCCCCCTCAGAATAGTTTATATCTCGCAATTCTGACTTTATAACACGCAATTGTGACTTTATAACACCCAATTCTGACTTTATATCACGCAAATCTGACTTCATATCAGACTTTATATCTCGCAATTCTGAGAAATAAAGTCAGAATTGCGAGATGTAAACTCGCAATTGTGAAAAAAAAGTCAGAATTGTGAGATAAAAAGTTGCAATTGCCTTTTTTATTTTTCATTCTGTGGCGGAAACAAGCTTCCATAGTCTTGCATAGCCTACCTGTTAATGCAACAGCTTTCGTGTATGGAAGGCCAAAGCTGACTTAATTAAAAATAAATATATACATAAATAAATATACGAAGAAATGAAAAAAGCAAAAATACAAAAATAAATACATAATTAAATATACAAAGAAATGTAAAAAAGTACAAATAAATGTGTATTTTTCACACATTTATTTATTTATTTATTTATTTCCACTTTTATTTATTTCCACATTTATTTATGTATTTATGTTTTTATGTCTACATTTATTTATTTTCACATTTATTTATTTCTACATTTATTTATTTCCACAATTAATTATTTCCACATTTATTTATTCCAACATTTCTTCCTCCGTATTCCAATGAGGGGGGCGTGTTTTAACACAGACATCAGCAATCGACCTCAGAATGGCAGCTTTGAGGCCACAGTGACGCCTTGTGGTGTGTGACCAAACGAAACGCAAGAGCTGTGCAGGCAATATCACATTTTAAGTCAT